ACCACATAATTGATGCAATTCTGGTTGCCACTCTTAACTCCAGACACATGGGTTCTTAAGTGGGCAGTGGAGGGAATCCCAGATAAGAAGTGCAAGTGTGCTGTGGGGAATGGGGGAGACCCTGGGAAACTTGGCACAAGATGTGCCTGATTTCTGAGGGTGCTGCAATTTGGTGCGACCTCAGGGAGGCTAGAGAAAGAAGGTGTGAAGTATGTGCATGCATGTGTGTAAGCTCAGGCCAGGAAAAGAATATGCTGTGGCTCAAGGGCTTCAGGGTGTGCCACAGCCCCAAGACTTCAAGAAACCTCTGAGCTGTAATGCAGTGCCCCTGGAAATCTCAGCTGCCCGTCAGTGCAATATGATGCAAAGCTGCCAGACTGCAGGAAACACAAATAGGCTTCTTGGCATATTTGGATTCTGGAACTGCAAGAAGCACTTGAGCTTCAGTCGAGCATAAAAAGGGGTGCTGGAAGAGCAATTAAGTTAGGGGACCAATTGTCACTTCATTCAGCAGCGTTGTAACTTCGAACAGTCACTGAATGGTTATAAGTCGGGCATTACCTGTACTACCATTCACAATCTCGTATTCTCCAGGTGTATTGAAGCTTATGCTGGCAGAGGATAATAGATATTGTACAACACTTGGTACAGGGTCAGAAGGGGTTTGGAATATGCTCCTTCTGCTTGTCTTTGGAATGATGCAAGAATAAGTAATTTTCTTAAAGTGATTTATTTTAGATAAGAAATAATATTTCATTGCTCTTAAAGTTGATTTTGGTAAGTAATACAATAAAACAATTTATTCTGTAATTAAAAACAAATAAATAACTCCATTAAAAATATATTATATAATTCTATATGTAAACATGGGGACATGTTGGGCTCCCAAATACGGACAGAAGCATAGAAGACTAATCCATACTTATTGGGAGATTTCTAGCTTTTCGGAAGTGTTCTGTTCTTTGGTTTTTCCATTTCCTTGTCTTGGACTTAAATGATACTGTTACATTGTTTGGACACTGGCAGCAAAGAAGAGTGCACAGCTGTGAAGTTTTCGTGATTGGATTTGGAAGTCAGCATAGCTTCTGAGAAAGAGAAAACGAAGCCTAAAAATTATGCTATCATCCATACTCCAAAGCTGATTTCTCTCACAAAGTATTTTTTAAGGGAAAGGGAATTGCTCTTTAACTATTTAGAATTAGCTGAAGAAAAGATGGTCTTCTCTGAGCCCAATTCCTCTACCAAACTAAGATCCTCCAAGTGAAAAAAGGAAATAAGAACAAATTCTTTGTATTTAACTGGACTCCTGCCATGCAAATTATTAGAATGTAGCAGATTCTATCATAATGATGGAGCAATTTCAAGTTATTTATCAAATGAATATATCATAGTTATCACCAGTACTGAGATGAGTAAACACTCTGTTTTGTCGTATCAATTAATCACCCATTAATCACCCATTACAAGACGTATTTTACGGTTATAAACCAGAAGCTGAAAAGCAACCTGACAGTAGAACAGGCTACTGACACTATTAAGACACTGACAAATTAGGCATATTTCTAGGATACCTATTTCTGATTATGGATTCACCTGTAGGAGAAATTGTGGTAGTCCTATCTCAGAATCTATAGGAATGCCCAAAGGAAGAAGGAAAATATAATTCTCCAAGGCAAATATTGGATGGAGAATGAATTACAGGTGACAATAGATGATTTATATGTAGATGATTCAAATATAGATTATTTAAATGTAGCTAACTAAATGTTGCTAGCTTGGAACATAACAGAGCATATTTGTCACTGCATATCTAGAATTATCAATGCAAGTATCAAATCATCTAAATTCTCAGATAAAGTGAGAGTAGGTAGGAGCTGTGTTTCCAAGACAACATATTGCCAGAAATATGCAGCAAGGTTGAAGCACTTTAGTCAATACAGTATATTTCTCAGATTAAACGAAAGACCCCCTACATTAAAACAAAACAATGAAATTGTTAAATTTTGCATGGATTTAGGCACAAATGAAAGAAATGAATAGACAAAATCTGATATTTAATCTTTTTATGGTGGGAAGTTTATTAGATATTGCATTAAAATAAATGGAAATGCTTTTAAATACATGCACTTAGTCAGTATAGATTCTCCAATCTATAACAGTATTAAAATTATTCTGCTGTGTCAGTGATTCTTAAGCAATAACTCAGCCTAGGATGCTTACCAAATTTCATAAGTACTGTTTGTTTCTTCTGCCTTGCTTTTAAATGAACATACTTTGTTAAAGTGTTATGTCATTATAGAACATAAAAAAATGAAAACTTCCCAAAATGTCTAAAAGTTTGGAATTTATGCAAGAAATGAATACTTAAAATTCATTGTTCTTATTACGATGTTCTTTTATCAATATAAAATTGTAATTATTATAACAACTGGGAACACACTGGCCTTGTTCACATGACACACACTGGAGGTAAGCAGGTCACATGAACTGGAAAAGTGGTTAGCATCCCAAACAATGAATCTTAATGGAATTCAATGTGGCCCAAAACAGAACTAGTTTTAGGCCAAATTGCTCCTGCCTTTAGATCATGTTTTCCTGACATCATGCTAAGCGGCGTAATACATACTTTGTAGATTCTCTGACTTTCAGTTTATTTATATAACAGAACTGGTCTGGATTGGTTGTTGCAGTAAGTTATATTCTGGTTTAGCAACAACAAGTAATCATATTCTTGGCTTATGATTCTGATTTTCAAGGAGAATCAGAAGTTCTGATTCAAACCTTAACACAAAACAAGCTAAGAGTGGAAATTTTGCTTGTTAGCTGCTATCATTGGTAGCAATGCAGGTGTAAGATTTTCTTGTTCTTCAACAGGCTGAAATTCTCAATAATTCATACTGTATGTCCAAATCAATGCATTAACTGAAGAAATTTTAACTAGATATTTCACAAGATTATTATAATCAGAAGTATGTGTATAGTGCTTAATCAGCTTAAAATATCACACCCAACTTCACAATTGATTAGAAAGTTTTAAATTGTGAAAGAATTTATAAAAATGGCATGATTTATAGCACTTGGTAAACAATTCTATCTTTTTTATACATACCTATTTTAAAAAGGATCCTGTGTTGCATTTTGGCAGTAGATTAGACTTTTTTTTCTTTAGAAACATTTAGAAACATGCAAATGCATATTAAATAGTGATTTTTCAGATTATTGTGTTAACTGTGGGACTAAAAGACATATTTTAACATGTCTTTACAATGTTAAAGGTTTACAGGTTTAATTTGAAATCCCCTTACATCAAGTCAGAGAAAAGGACCCTCTATATTTCAGTATTTCCTACACCAAGCAGAAACATCTCCAGGGTCTGGACTTTGTGTGTATGCAAATGTGAACTCTAGCAAGGTAGCAAAACACTGTCTTAGGAATACATATATTCTAAACAAATTTGAGCTTCTAAAATACTGATGGTTTTGTTAGGCACAAAGAACTCTCCTCCTTGAATTTATTTTAGGACTGCTCTATATCACATTAATGAATCATTTTCTCTACTGCTTTACAAAGCGTAATGTGTTTTGATTCTATTCATTCCAAGTTACTTTAACTAATAATTTAACTTGTAATATTTTATTAGATAGTATGCCTTATTTGATATAACTTGGAAGTAATGCCAACAAAAAGTTCTGCCTTTTAAGATATGCAATGGGATTCTCTTACAAAATATACATGAATTCCCAATACATATATTAACTGTAATGAGGCTAAAGCCAAATCCCATAAATTAAAATCTAAATATACATATGATATGGAATGGGATGTTCATTCACTTTCCTAGGTAGACAAATGTTTATTACTTTTTTCTAAATAAAATATAAAGTTTGTCAAAATTGATTTAATTGTAATTAGGTGAAATTGATTAAAATGTACAATTAGAAATACTTAGAAATTAACAGAAATCTATGAAAATCCTGTATATGTTGTATTGTAGATTGTCTTTCCAACTTAAAGTACAGTATTTTCCTAATTGTCTATTTTACTATTTTCTTTGTATTATCATACAATATAAACCATTTTACCACAACAGAAGAAAAAAGGCCAGGACTTGAAGGACCAAACTTTTTTTTTTTTAAATCATATGAAAATTTAATGATTCTTAAAACCTGGCTCAAATTTCTCACTTAATAGGTTGGCAAATAAGCTACATCTACATTGGCATCGAAATTAAGAAATCAATGCTCAGTTATCTCGATTGCAACACTACTTTGCTACTTTTGTTGCAGCCATACTCTACTTAAAACGATTTATGCTACAAGGAACGACCTTTGTATTCTCAGCAGCAAAGACACATTTGAGACTCTCTATGTACACTTGCGGGTATGAACTTTTCCTGTATTAAGGAAACTGAAAATGAAGGAGAGCAATGAACAGTTTGAAATGGATACCTGAAGTTCCCCGTATCCCATTTCCTCCTCTTCCTTTACAAAGAAAACAAAAAAGGGGGGGAGGGGAACCCGAGTGCAACAACTTGCTGTGGAAATCGATCATAACGACCCCCCCCCCCTCCTTTCCAGTTGGCATCAGACTGGCAGGAACAAGCTAAGCAAACAGAAAACAAACGGGCTGCCGGAAGGGAAAGGGGGAAGAAAGAGGATTCCAGGGCTTTTTAGGACGAACCACTGAAAGGGACCCTTTGAAGTCTTTTCACACCGCGCGAGGCCGGCACACGCAATCGCGTCTCGAAAAGCACCCTACCGAGTATCAAGGAGGAGGAACTTCCAGTAAAAACTTTTTTGGGGAACGGACGGGAGAAATAGCCTCCCAAACCTGCTATTTGCAGGCGCGGGGCTGCTACGAAGCGGACCAAGAAGCTTCCCCCGCTCCTGGAAGTGGCAGGATCTTGCGGGGCCTAGCGCTCTCCAGGCGCCACCGCCTCCGCGCCACAAGAGTGGATAAGGGGAGGAGGAGGAAGAGGAAGAACACGAAACTCTCCTCACCTGCTGCCCGTGGGCCACTCCGGGGGAAACCGCCAAGCCCCCCTGCCTCCTCTTTGCAGGGGAGAGGGCGCTCTCGCTTCCGCTTCAGGACGAGAGAAGCTGGTCCGGCGGCAGTCTCGCTGCTGGGGAGACCCGCGTCGCTGCTACTCCTCCTCCGCTCAGGTACAGTCCGACGTGCTCAGCCCTGCCACAACCGCCCCATAGCCTCCGGCCAGGGACTCCCAGGGAAACGGCGAGCCCAACCGTCGCTTCCAGAGGCCGTACCGCAAGCCCAGGCCGAGAGGAGAGGGAGGAGCCGGGATGCTCGCCTTTCCACACGCACCAGGAGGCGGGCGACGAGGCGTTGGGTCCCCTTCAATGCAGCCCCAGTTCATCATTCCGACCTAACATGGCGGCCGCCGGAGACCCGAGGAGAGGAGAGGGGGGAGAGAGAGAGAGAGAGACGAGCGGGAGGCGGTCGTGGCGGCAGCAGCTGTTGCTGAGAAGCAACTCCGACTCTCCCGGCGCAGCGGAGGCAGCTCCTACTTTCGTAGCTTCAGTTTGGCGGATCTCGCCAACGACCAACAGCGCCCCCTTCCTCTGGGAGCCGTCAGCCCTGACCTCCCGCTGCCAGGGGTGGGTGGAGGTCAGGACCGGCGGGCTGAGAAGGGAACTTGGAATTGCTTTAAAAGGAGAGTGCAGGGAAGGAAGCCGGCGATTCTGAGAGAAACCGGGATTCCGGGAAGTTTCTAGTGCAAGTTTTGTTCCTAATAGCAGCAGTGTTAAAACTTTTCATGCGCAAAATGCTGCCTGTGTTAGTCCACCCGAGCAGCTTCGCCTTACGCGGAGTTGTAAATCCTTATTTCCATTGAGTGAGGGTGAGCGATAGACTCTTGCTTCTTAACGTCTGGTTCGACAGCCCTCTCGAAGTTTGTTGAGCAGTGTCTTCCAGGGCAACTTGTTTTCATCTAAAATTAGTCTGTAGAATAGAATGGATTCCAGCATTTTAAATGATCTATTTAATAAAACAACTCCTCCCCTTCCTTCTGACAGGCAGGTTATAACTACCAGCGTTGTCCTGCTTAACGATTGAATAATCACTTACAACCCGAGGCTGTCCAGCAATGATCCTGAAGAAGGTTCTTCCGTATACCTTTCAAATAATAAAAAAACTATTCAGTTTGAAGCAATATCAGCTACTAACCTATGAGCAGTATTGGAAACCGTCTTTTAATGTGGTGTAATTGGGGCACTTCTAGACAAAGCTGTTACAGTGGTGTGCATTCGTTCTTCATCTCAATAATGTTATGCAGAGCAGTTGTTTTCCAATTATGATACAGTTTTTCACCATAAGAAGTCTTAAGAGAGACAGAAGAACATCAGTATGTTGGATAACAGTGTAAAGACCTATTAGTGTGGGAGGAGCCTAACATTTTCTACAGACTGAAAATCTGTTACAGATCAATATAATTACACTAGCTTTGAAAAGGACTGAGATTCAAAGGTGTCAGCAGGGTTTGTGTGTGTTTTTAAAATAACAGATTTTTGTGGCTATGATTGTGTGATCAGCGCTCTGCTTTTTACAAAGCCCCCAAATTAAAACAAAAAAGTTGGCTTTGTTCAGCAGTCACAGCTGCTATCTTGACCTGTTTTGCTGCCCCCCCACCATGCCCTGTTGGGATTTTTTAATTAAGGCATTTTAAGTCACAGATGCTCAGAGATGTAACTCATTTCATATAATTTATTATAGACATTTGAACTTTACCAATTGCTGAGAAAGAAAACACGATTAGCTTTTGACAGTAAAAGTGTATTACTAATAAAACAAGCTGCAGCTAGACTGATGAGACAGGTTAATTCAAATGACTTTTTTTTTTTTAGAAAAATAAGTTGGCAGATTTATGTTGAAGTTTTAATGAGATACAATTGTGCTTAAGAGTTTGTGAAGCCTTTTGAATTTTCAGTACTTCTGCATTAATAGGATCTAATTCTTCACACACAAGTCCTAAAACTAGATACAGGTAATCACACAAGTTCTTCTTTACACAAGTCCTAAAACTAGATACAGGTAATCCTCATAATGAAACCTGCCCATTATGGTTGGAAGGCCCAGTAATGGGCTATGGCCCACAGGTTGGGGACTCCTGCCTTACATGACCTCTAAGTGGCTTTCAATACCATCAACCATGGTATCCTTCTGGACTGACAAAGGATTGGGGATAGGTGGCATCATTTTGGGCTGGTTCACCTTTTTTCTATGGGACCAGTTGGGGAGGATAGATCTTGCCATTGACGCTCTGCTATGTGGGGTGCTGCATATCTGTCACCAAGGTTTGAGGTATCATCAGTATGTGTATCACCACTATCCCTGGTGAATTAAGCGATGCTGTGTACATTTTATTCCAATATTATGGGCTGTGAGGGTCTGAATGGAGAACAACAGGCTTCAACTGAACCCTGGCAAGATTGAGCAGCTTTGGGTTTTGAGATACTGGGGTTGCACTGCCCAAACAGGCCCTTTGCATAATCTGAGGGTTGTTGTGGACTCACAATTCCTGCTCAAAGAGCACGTGGCAATTGTGGCTAGGAGGACCTTTGCATAACCTCATGTTGTGTGGCAGTTACACCTATTCCTGGATCAAGGGGCCCTACATAAGTAGGTCATGCCCTGGCCACTTCCCAATAGGACTATTGCAATGTGCTCAATATGAGGCTGCCCTTGAACAATATTCAGAAACTTCTGTGGTTTCAAAATGCATTGATGAGAGCAAATAAGTTTGTCTCTGATAGTGCATATGTTACACCTCTGTTGTGTGAGCTGCATTAGTTACCAGTTTGTTTCTGGATCCAATTCAAGAGGTGGATGTTTGAACTACTTTCTTAAAACATGGATATTGATGTCTCATGAAAAGAGCTTTGGTTCTATTGAATCTGAGTCACAGTAAAGAGAATGATTCTACAAAACTGAAAAGAAACATATTCTTCTGAGTTTAAGGAACACAGTTAAGATATGATTTTATTATCTATTTTGGAAAAGCCATAATAGCTATTAATATTGATATTTTTCATTTCATTTATATAGCATTTATATAGTTACCCATCTCATAGAAATGGGTAAGTGGTGTAGGTGGTGCACGAAGATTAACAAAAGCCGAAAACTGAATAAGATTCAACAGAAAAAAAAGTAACAGAGCAATGTTTCTCAACCTCAGCAACTTTAAGATGCATGGATTTCAATTCCATATTCAGTTCTGTTTTTTTTGTTTTGTTTTGTTTTCTTACAAAATAAAATATCTCCTCAATCCTTATAGGAGATACAAAAAAACCACCTGTCTGGGTCAAGGGCTTTTGTGTCTTTTGTGTCTGGGTCAATCTAATGGCGTACAGAAAAAAAAGATGTATCTTCATATGACAGTAGCACACTTGTATCAGTACTATTTATGATCAGTTTTGTGGCATCATATACTTATTTATGTCTTCTTGATTTTAACTAAACTTATTCCAGATGTGTCTTTGCAGATTATTCTTTAGAACCCCTTTGAAATTATTTGAAATGAAAGTTAACATCACAGTTATGTCTAATATCTTTTATAACAATTCTTCTATAATGCAAAGAAGTGTACTGAATACAGAACAATAAGCTTAATGAGTCATGCCCTGAAAATATTCCTGAGAATAATTCACATAAGAATATACAACAAAATTGAAGAGTGTCTAGGTAACACACAATTTGGTTTCAGAAACAATCTTGGTACATGAGATGCACTATTCATTATTCAAGTTCTTGTACAGCGTTGTAGAGATGTCATTCACAGTGTTTACATGTGCTTCATTGATTTTGAAAAAGCTTTTGAAAAAATAAGATACAGCAAACTATTAGAAATCCTGAAACAAGGGGGACTAGATGACAAAGACATCTAAATCATAAAGAATCTGTATTGACATCAGGCATCATCAATGTGAGACTAGGCCAAAAATACTCAGCTGATGCAGAAATAAGAAGAGGGGTCAGACAGGGATGTATTCTGTCTCCACTGTTGTTCAATATCTACTCTGAGTCAATCTTCTACGAGGCACTGGAGAACATCGATCCTGGCATCAAAGTAAATGGTGTTTGGCTCAACAACTTAAGATTTGCTGATGATACAGTTCTGCTTGCCAGTAAGCATGAAGACCTTCAGCTCCTCATCAACAGAGTCACAGAAATATCTGATAAATACAGCTTGAAGCTTAACACCTCAAAAACCAAGATCATGGTCGTCAGCAAACAACCCATTAATTTACCACCAATAAATTCAGAAGAAATACCACTAGAAAAAGTTGAAAGGATCACGCAACTCGGTTCTAATTACATGAAATCTGGACATGACCACTGAAGTAAAGACAAGGATAGAGAAAGCTTGAATAGCATTCTCCAAAATGAAAAAGGTCTTCTGCAGTCACAACATAAGCCTAAGACTGAAAATCAGGCTTGTCAGATGCTATATTTTTTTTATCCTGCTCAATGGAGTAGAGAGTTGGACTCTGAGACAGAAGGCCATCTGAAGAGACTAGAAGCATTTGAAATGTGGATTTACAGGCGGCTGTATAAGCTGGGTTGACAAGATCAGAAATGAGGAGGTGATAAGCTGCCCGGGAAAGCCAAGGGAAATCATCAAAACAATTAAAAAATTTTTATTAAAAAATAAAAATTAGAATATTTCAGACATGTGATGCGACACCCAGAAAAATACGGCATACTCCATTTAATCCTCCAGGGAAAGATTGAAGGCAAACGAGGTCCAGGCAGAAGAAGAACATCGTGGCTTCAAAATCTAAAGGACTGGTTTGGACAAAACTGAGCAGCACTTTTTCGTGCAGCTGCTGATAAAAACAGGATCGCCAACATGATCGCCAACGTCCGATAATGGATATAGCACAAGAAGAAGAAGAAGAATGCTTTCTTTAATCCCTGGCAGCCTGTGTTTCAGAATATTTGCTCCTTAAGTAAATAAAGTTTATGTGTGCTCTTCTAAGGCAGCATTTTTAAATGAAAAAACAAAACTATTTTTACCATAATATATACATGAAAAGCATTTGTGCATCCTTGGTTATTAATTCTGTACCTTTATCTTTCACATTTGTTTCATAAATAGTTACAGCAATAAGCCGGATTACATTATATAAAGCAAATGTATTGCTGTTTGCTAATCTTTATCTGTTCATATCCTATCTCCGTTTGTTGGCACAAGAGTGTTGCTTATGGTTACTTAAAATAACTGTTCCTTTGTTTGACTTGTTTCTTGTCTTTCAGGAGCAGTAATATGATTGTCTTGCAGTTCTGTTAGGAATTGTATTCCATATCTTGTTCATCTGAAATACATTTGTTTCCAAACAATTTAAATAATAGAAATGAAATATTTGAAATTGTACATCTTCACGTTTCAGTGATTTATAGTCAGATGGGCTAAAATAAGTAGAGCTTTTTTTGACTAAAAAAATTCTGTTGAATGTAAATTATGAAAAAGGTAATAACTATAGTGAGTTAAATACATTTCATGTTATTGATAAGTTTTGAATTTTTGCTATGTGAACAATTGCTATT